CTGTATTCAATGCATTTTTAAATATCTAAGAAGTGGAAAAATTCAGTTAACAAGTATTTAAAAATGCAAGAATATAATTGTTGTGGTTTTGATCATCAATAAGAAAAAAAAAAAAAATTATTTCTTAAATCCTTGATTAATTTCTTTCACTGCAGATAATCTGATACAGTAAGAAATATAAAGAAAAGTATGGAATCACAACCTTTTCCTTACGTTTTTAGGTCATAATTTATAATAACATTAAAAAAAAAAATTTGATTTACAACAAATTGATGTTTTTTTATTTTTAAATATTATTTTATTACATATTTTTCATATGGACTATTTCTACATACAGGTACTTGGTAACAGGTATTGTTCATAAGTGTTATTGGTAGCTCATCAATCATACAATTTTTTTAATCCTTATTTTGAATATCCATCTTTGTTCAGAAATATTCCATTGACATATAATTTCATAGGTGCATAATGCAAAAAGGGAGAAATAACTTCAATTTCCTTTTATTTGCATTTTTAATTATGTTTGTATTTTATATGCTACTGTAGATTTATTTTACTTATATACACATCTGGTTTTAAATGCTGAATTGAAAATGTGTTTTTTTTTTTTTTTTTAATGAATTTAAACCAAATTTTGAAAAAAAAAAAAATTTTATTCAAAAAGGTAATATTAAAGATACCTTCTTCAATAAAAATAAAATCAGTCATAATTTATATATTGAAATTTGATATATAACTATACCCAATAAGAATTAATGCATTTTTGGTTATAATTAGTTCTGTTAATTTACTTTAATTCTTGCTAAAAATATACAAAAAATAGTTGACTAGTTTTATATATATATATGTGTATTTGATCTGTTAAAAATCTTCTGAATAATTTTCCCTTTTAAATATTTACATAATAGCAAACCTTATCAAAAACATTATTATTTTAAAATGTATAAACAAAAAAAATTTATTTTAAATATATAAACTAAAGTAAATAACATTCAAATTTTATAAATTCTATTACATTGTTCATTTATAAATGACAATTTGCATTCTATGTTTATATATAATATTTTGGTAGTAAAGGATATCAGAAAACAATAATATAAAAAATATTCCAATTACAAAAATACATTTTACTTCAATCAAAATATAGAAATATGAAGTTAAAAACTGTCACTTAGACTTAAGTTAATTTTAAAATAATTTCATCCAACTGATTTAAGCGATACATGTTTTTGACATAATTTTTTCTATAATAAATAAATAACATGATATATTGCAAAATAGGAAACAATATACAAAACTATGTATATCTCTTTTTAAAAACACTACATTAGGTTATCCACAAATTAAAAATCACAGTTAAATGATTGTCTGAATTTAATTTCCCATCGTCGATTTCTCTCTTCTAATTTTTTTCTTTCCCATTTTTTCAATGTTCTTTCTCTCACCATCTTCACTGGATTATGCTTCCTAGATGTAACAGAAGTTTCATCATGTGCAACAAAATGAGTAACTTTAGGAACTTCTTTTTTTTTACCAATACATGATCTATCTTTTTTCAAGATAGTTTTGATAGGAAATTTTCTACCATCAGCATTCACACCCAAACCTTTGTTTTTATCCCAACCACTTTTCAGCATAATTTGAAATCCTTTATTATTTTCTGGAATATGATAAAAAGTTGAATCACCAGGTTTTTTTGTAACAAGTAAATGAGCTATGCTATGTTCATGAGCTTCTTGAGACATAGTGTATGAAGTTTTACAGTTTTTACAAAACTTTTCTATTGTTTCAGGCTTATTATCAGTGGTTACATTAGATTTCATTTCATAATAATTAATACCATCTTGAAGAAGTTTTAATATGGCATCATGTTTTGCTTTCATTGCAATATCCATAACAGTCATCCCATATTTACATCTAATATTAAGATCAGCTCCTAATTTAAATAAATATTCAACTATAGAAATATGTCCTTCACATGCTGCACACATTATAGGCGTCCAACCATGAGCATCTTGTTGATCAATGGAACCTCCATATTCAACATATTTTTTAATTTCTTCAATATTACCTCGCTGGGCAAGAAGAAATATTGAATCAGTTTTTAAATTATTGCTAGATGCAGAACTAGTTAGTTTTCTCTTTTTATCACAGCTGGTTTTTACAGAAGTTACTGTTCGTTTTATAGGTTTAAATTCGGAAGGTAAAGAAATAATAGAATTGTAAAATTCGCTGATTTCAGCACCACTCAAACCAGTTTCAAATTTTGATTTAAAACCTTACTGATTCTTCTATCTTCTCTTCTGATGGAGAAACAAAAGGAATTAATTTCACTGATAATGAATTAAAAGTTGACATAATGGTCATTAATTATTCTTTGATAAAAACGAAAACTTATAATAAAAAAGACAAATAGAACAATTAATTTTACATTATCAAACGAACAGGTGAATGATTATTAACTTAAATATTTCTATCGAAGTTAAACTAAAACAAAATTATAGAAACATATCACTTTTCAAAACAACATTATAAACACATATTGCTTTAACTTGACACAGCCAAGTGTTTTGAGATTTATGTTCGAGTTAGTTGCTTTATCTCAATTTATCCAAATGTTATAGTTTTTAATTTGCTAACACATTTTGTTATATTTTTTAAAGACAAGTAATTTTCTTTATCCTTAGAACATTTTGAATTTTTTTAACTTTTTAAATATTGAAACAGTATTTATATTTAAAAGATTTCTTGGAAATAATAATATAATTATTCAACTGAAAAATATTAATTTCTTATCTTGAATTTTATATTGGCATGAAATCATAAAAAAATTTTTTAATTAAATTTTAAATTTTCCTGAATTTTATAAGAAGATTATTTTATTGCTGTTGGTGTTGCAAAAATTGGCAACGAGTTGATAGAAAATATAAACAAACAATTTGATTTTTTTGTTAAAGCGTGGTTACTGAATTTAAGTTGACGTAACTTGCTGAGTTTGTAAGTCGTATTTACTCTTTTTTTTTTTTTTTTTTTTTTTTTCTTCTTCTTCTTTACTAAGCCATAATCTAAAAATTTGTGATAAAGCTGCCAATCAAGCTTGAGCTTAAATTTTTAAAGGTTTGACATAAGTCGAGACTGAATTAGATGTTTTCTTAAAGGTTTATAATTAAAGTTCCAAATTTTTTTCTTTTATATAATTAACTCGTAACAGGAGAGGTGAAAATGTAGTGACATGTGTTTGAGGTACTATGTATAGTTATAATTTTTTTAAGAATCGTTTAATTAAGAAGTATCATTTTGATATTTCACGTAGATTTTCTTTGAAATTTTAACTGTTAGCAAAAAATGTGTTTTTACATTTTAATGTGAAATAAAACTTTTTCTGAGAAAATTTGCCAGAGCCTTATATTTTTTTTTATGAAAATCATATGCTGCAGTAAATTTTTATAAAAAATAAGAGTAATAATGAATCTATTATTAATAATTATTCTGATTAATTTATTTAATATGCAAAATAAATTTCAATAAGAAAAATTCAATATAGCACAATACAAAAATTTTTTTGAAAGTAAATCTGAAATATCAGTATCTCACAGATTTCATGGAAGCAAATAATTAAGTCCTTATTTTCTTTAGCACATTTATTGTACAAATTTTGCTTGCATTCTACACAAATATGATTTTTGGCATGAGAAACATAATTATGCTGTCTTTCTTTTTTTTTGTTTTGTGGACACAGACTGCTGGCTTTCCTTGATTTTAATTTTGTTTCTTCTGTATACAGCTCCACATTCTGAGACTGCTTTTTCTAAAATCAATTTTATCGTAGGCACAATTCTCGGTTTTATTCTTGGATTTTTAACTTTTGTATGTAGTAGTGGTAGGATTAAATTTCATGCTAATGTTTTCAATACCATCCTGGTTCATATAGGGTTTTTCGAAATAACCTTGGTGCAAAATGTATGCTTTTTATTTTGCTCATATCTGCTAACTGTTAGAAAAAAGCTATAGGCCAACACACTGCACTTGAAGAATGGAATTTTCTGTTAGATGCACATGCCAAAACATAATAAGGAGAGCTTAAGTTCAAGGTCACAAAACACGAAGCAATAGAAAAGAATCCATTCAATTGGACTAAGCATGTAATAGGGGTGATGAGAGGTTCATGTTGAGTGATCTGCGAGATCACACATCCCCTGTTACGGTTAAGTATTTAAAAATATATGGGTTTTGTCTGGCTATTATAAATTTATTTTATTAAATGAATATATTATGCCAAAATTTTTGAAAGTTAAATTTTTAAATTTTCTAAGTTAATTTTGAAATATATATATATATACTCACACACAAATATGTGCATATATATATGTTGTTAGTAGATTTTGACAAAATGGATTTATCAATTGTATGATTCTAAACTGTATGATGTTAAATGAAATTTTTAACTAAGTATACTTTATTATAACATCATTGGTTCATATAAATATTATTAATCATAGAATTATTCATAAGAAAAATTTTATTTTTTATTTTACAGAAAAGATAGCTTAATTTAATAAACTTCGCTTACATAATTTATTTATTTAACATGAAAAATTTATAATTGATTTTATATTTGAAAAATTATAATTTTATTATAAACTATGAAATACTTATGTTGATGTAATACTCAAAAGTAAAATAGTTATAGTTGTAAAGTTAGATTAGTTTTGTTGTTGTTTGTTGTTTCTTTTCCCACTTGGCTGGCCAAGCCCACGAGCCATACGTACTCATGATTGAAGGGGAAGGAAGCAGCTTCTGTTGTGATGGAGTACCCGTAGGTAGAAGTCTGACTTTGGCTCCGTGACGCTCTTACAGTCATAGGAGACCGGGACCCTATGGCTTAAAGTGGATTCCGAACCACTACAAACATCCATGGCACCGCCGGGATTCGAACCCGAAACCTGTGGCACCGAGCGGCAGACAGTCAGGCCATTCAGGTCCCAAATTTGTGAAATCCAACGGCACGCGGTGTGACCAGGTGGTCACCCACCCAAGTACTGACCCAGCGCCCAATGATACTTGACTTCGGTGATCAAAAAGAGAAACCGGTATATTCAGCATGGTATGGCCATTGGCTAGATTAGTTTTAAATTGTAATTATGAGGTTTACAGTACAATTTTAGCCATCCTTCACATTAACACGGAAATTTGGTTTTGAAGTGGGTTGATGCTTGGGAAACTCTTTCTTAATGGTATCACGAGGGAAATCATCTGATAAAAAGAACTAATTAACAGAAAATAAATATGAGAGAAAAATTTTCTTAGTGAAAAAGTTAAAGGCTTGATGCTTTGGAAATGATTGGATTCTTTGAAAATGATATAAGCAGTAATTTCAAACAAGTGCAATTTGCTGCATTAAAAAGTAAATTATACATATCTAAAATACATTGACAATCAGAAATTCAAAAGAAATCCTAGGTAAAGATACATATAAAAAATGAAATAGGCTACAACTTATTTGTTTCAAACACAATCATTACTTATTCCAAAATTGAGGAATTAAAATGCATCTAGAATGCTAATGTTATCAGAGTGATGACTTTGGCTCATTCTATTTCATCTTTAATGACAGAATACATATACAAAAAAAAAAAAAAAAAATCCAAATTTCTTTTGATATCAGCTAGAACTTTGGAGCCTAGAATTTAAATAATATAAACCCCAAGACCAATCAAGTGCATTGGCGTCTTATGCTGAAATCATCTTCTGTGTGCAATATCCTGGTACCAGATTATGTATTTTTTTATAAATAAATTTTTGTTTTTATGTATGTGGGGTGAATGCACTAGATTTCCATAATTCGGCTATTTTTTTTTTTTTTCCATTTGGCTCTAGAATTTTTCATTTTGAAATTTAATTTTTCTAGTTTTGTTTTTCCAAAAAAAAACTTTTCCCGTTTTCTACAAAAATTCCCTGACTTTTGTGATTTTGCATGACCTTTTGTCAAATTTCCTGACTTTTCCAGATTCAGTATATACTATGTGTCAGTATACTTTATGTATATAGTTTTAAATGTTCCTGATTTGATCTATGCACATTAATATTAAATTTATTTTAAATATATGGTCATTCTGCAGTAGAATTTGTTTTTCTACAATCTACATCAAATAAAAGTTAGTATAATTTATTTAATAAATTTGGAGGTAATTTTGTAAAAATAATCAGATATTACATATGAAATATAATTTTTGATTTTTATGTTACAAACCAGATTTACTACTTTTGCATAATTGTTATTCTGAATTTTTTACTTATATGTATTCCAGGTGTGTGATGTGTGTACACACACACACATACAATAACTTTCCTTGTTTGGCCATAAAATAACTTTCCCTGATTGGAAGCAGCTGAAACTGATGAACAGAATAAAAACCAATTTCGCATATAGACCATGAGAATGTTGATAGGGAAGATTTTGGTGCTGTTCTCATTCATACACTTTGAAGTTTGCACAATTTAAGTAGATTTTTTTAAATTTCTTAGTGGTTACTTGACAGCAGCTCTTATTACCTGCACTATTACTGGTGAGAAATACAGGCAAAAGCTGCACATTTTTGTCATTCCTGAATTGCAGCAAAGACAGACCTTGGACACAACAATTGTTATGCAAGATGGAACACACCAAAGGCTCTCCATTCAACACAGAACCTTTTATGGCTGCATTTTGGTAGTGAGAAAGTTATCAATCAATGTTTTCTAATGAAATGGCCAACTAGTACCCATACATCACACCATGCAATTTTTGGCTGTGGTGGTACCCTTAAATCTGTTGTTTATAGTATGCTGGAGGAGTTACTAACCTGAATTCCTTAAAAGAGAATATAAGACGAGCTGTTACAAACATCCAAGGTAGAGAACATCATACACCAGATGCAATACATAGGAAAAATCAGCACATTGAAAATGCTGCACATGGCCTGAGGACCATAATGTTGATTAATAAAAGATTATTTTCTGTGAGTTTCATATTGTTGTCCTTCATTTTCTGCATCTGCATTTTTTTATTATTCAAACATTATAATGAAACTTAACATGATCCATTTTCTCTACATTCATTATAATTATTGACTTTTTTTCATTTTCAACAGCTGTAAAATTAGATATGAACTAGAAAATTTAAAAAATGTACCTAGAGTGTTAAAATTTTATAGTGTGTCTGTGTAGTGCCCTGTGTCTTTACACAGTCTGTATATGCTTGTATTCTGTTTATTAGGTTAGCTGCATATGCTTCAAAACAGGGAAAGTTATTTTATGGTCACCCTGTGTATGCATATATGTTTTTATTATAAATACCTAGTAAAACTTCAACATAAGGACCTTTTAATGGAATTAAGTTATGTCTGTAACAATATAATGTAGGAAAAAAAGCCAGTAATACTTAAATTTTAAAATTCAAAATTTTTTTCTCCATTGATGATGCGTAACTATTTCCAAGAAAATTCGCATATATTTTATATTTGTTGTAGATATGATGTGTTAAATTCTTTTGGACATAATCTAATAGTATTAATACATGTTTAAATAACATTCCTGTTCTGCTAATAGAAAATAACTAATATTTGCTGCCTTCAACAATAATAATTTATGTTTAAAACAGTGCTTTGAAGTCAAACAGCTGTGTAAAATTATATACTAATCTTCCATACATAGAAAACATATATTTTTCATTTTTTTTTACTATATTATTAAATTATTTGTTATTTTTCTTTTATAATTTACGAATTTAAAAAGAAACTTCGTAATATATTTTTGGAAAATAATAGTATTCTTTATGGTATTGCTTACAAATTATTTGTAGAATTATGTATTGCAAAAATTTTGAATCTGATAGCACACACACACATATTGAGATTTTGTATTATAAGACAGACTACAAATATACAGGTATTCAAATAACATTATTTTTCTTAATTAGGAAGGAAAAAAGACATACTAAGAATTAAGAAACAAAGAAAAAAAAAAATCAAATAAAGAAAATTAAATCTTTGTAAAAGCCTGCCTGCATATAGCCATAATCAGTATTTAGGTAAAGCTGTTTAAAAGTTTAATGGTGTCTTACCAAAACCATCAACTAAAAATATTTTACAGTAAGAATTCAATAACAGCAGACATGATATTAAAGATAGTTCTATATATGTGTAAGTGATAGTTCTATATATGTGTAATTGATAGTTCTATATTTATAAATGGATTATTTTGCCATCTAATTGGGAAAAAAAAATTATAAATTAGTTACGAAAATATTAATCTTTGAAATATTTACTGTTTTTTTTGTTTTTTTTTTTTTTTTTTTTTTATGTTAATGCATGAAAATCTTGCAAATTTGTTTTTCAGTCTTTTTCTGAATATTTTATAAATTTTATCAAAAATAAAATCAGTATCATGTGCAGATATAACCTCAAAGCTTGAATAGTGAAACAATTTCTTTATAGAATTTATAATAGGTACTGATGCATGTTTAGAAATATCCGTATTATATAGTTCATAATTTTTAGGTTAGAATTCCATTATTTATTAGCAAAACAATGATATTCACATATCATGATAAATAAAAGGTCCCAGGTAAAAAGAAGTCCATGACTTGATATATTGTGTGTAATTAATGATGCACATATTAAAAATTTGTAATTATGATTACAGATATTTCATTTCTGTCTTTATTAAATTAAAAAATATATTGCATTTTGTTTTTTTAATGAATTTTTAAGTGTAATAAGACTTTTGGAACACTGTATTTTTCACATGCCACTAGTACAATTATGGTGCAAATTGTATTTTTGTAAAAGTTTCCATTTTCTTTTTATAATTATAGTTAAATAAAATAAAAATTTGGATAATAATAATTTATAATGTAGAATGAAGATCTTCTTAGTCATGAAAACTTTTGGAATTTCAAAAAATATATATCAATATTGGAGAGTATATTTTACAATAAATTTAAAAATATCTAATTTTAGATATGGAATGGAAAATTTTCCAAGATAGCTTTCTATAAGCCACATGCTGAGAAAATCTCTTTAGTAAATGTGGTTATATTTATTGAAGGCTACAATTGGCCTCCTTAACATTTTGAAATTAATTCTGAGAACTTCGAAAATAAATAAATTTTAAAAAAGAGTTAGGAGTTGATTTTTATATTGACTCCTTCAAAAATTGCAACTTTCCACCTCTAATTGGAAGTAATTTTAACCATTTTTAGATTGTTTTAATCCAAATATTACTCAATGCATTGAAAAATATTAAATAAATTATCAATTTTATTTTATTTTTACTAACAGAATATAAATATCACAATATAAGTATTAAAGTTATGGAAAATATCAATATTCAGAATACTCAAAATTGAAATTCATTAAATTAAAATTAAGTGCTTAAATATAAAAATTGTTAATAAATCCAATTATGTAGTTTTAAGAAACATATATTTTTAATGTTTACAGTTTACTTTTAATGGCATTTTAGTGATTTCAAAATGGCACAAGATCCTACAGCTTGCTTGAAATACTTCTCACAGCTTGAAGAAGCTGCTCAGGATATTCTTATTGATAAAGAACAGATTGTTAATTATAGTAGAAAAAGCAACTCCCTGAGAGAAGCAAAACGGTGAGATTTTATAAATATTGAATCATGTAAATTTCAAATTTTATTTTTATGTAAATAAGATTATTTAATTATTAAACTTTATATTGATATAACTTTCTTTAAAAAGTAAGATTAGTTGGTAGACTTATCATTTTTTTTCCAGTGCTTTACAAGCAGAGATGAAGAAAGATACATCAAATTCAAAAACTTGGATGTGTTTTGGAAATATGTTCATTAAATGTCCAAAAATAAAGCTTTAGCTTTAGTAGAAAAAGGTAATATTTTACATACTATGGATAAATGTGCATGAAAGGTCTAGTGGTTGAATGTATAACTTCATTTTTTAAACTATGATAAAATATATAAAAAGCATAATAATTTTGCCCCTATGAATTTTTAAAAGATTTTTAATTAACACTGTACATGAATTCAAAAATACACCAAATTTTTATATGCATATTTATACATAAAATTATATGTGTATAAAACT